AATGACACTGCTGAAAATAATATATTAATAAAAAATGATCTTTTTATGTATGGTATTGAAAAGAAATGTAATAAGAAGAAGCTAAGAAGCCATAATAAAAAGATGTTTCCCCAATTCATTCTGCCTGGTTAATGCACAAACAGTTTAAAAGCTGGTAAATTCTTGCAAGTCAATGACCATTGCCAGGTTGGCAAAGGTTCAAGGAACCTTTTGGTCAAAAGGCTCTTTATAGTGGTAAATGATTCATCATTAAAAAAATGTACAAATAGTAATTTTTCGTTGTACTATAAACTGAAAGGGGAAAAAAGTATTCTTGTAGGCTACTCACATCTGCAGCGTGTTGATTAACTACTTGGATGAAAAGTTTATAAAAAATGGCAAAAGATGAAAAGCAAAGATGACAGCCTTTATGCTGCATATTTCCTGGGGCAGAAAATCTGCAAATGAGATGGAAACAATGACAGCTCATTCTCCTCAGGTCCTGACCCAATAATAATACAACTGTGCAGTAAATGTCTCCATCTGCTGGACTCGTCTCAAACTGAAACTTCATAAAAGACAAATCCTCAGGTCCTAGGACAAGAATATTGTCGAATTTGCTGATTATCTGGAAGAAAAAAATCAGTTAAATTCAGCATAAACCTCCATTATGCAGTTAATAAAAAAGTAATAAAATATAAACCTCTGACATAATGAGTAAAGTCAAATTCTCCCCTTAACCCCAAGCAAAAATTTTGTTGTCGTTTGTGGGTGTATATTTAAATTCAAAACAAGACGGTGCTAAATGAATGTACGTACGCCATTTTGTCAACTGTCCAGCTTGTCATGTGGTCATTACATGATCATTATGGGGGCAGCTGTGTCCCACACATCACTGGCATAAAACGTGCCTGTTGTGTGACTCAAAAGGGGCAGTGTTGCTGAAGAACAAACTGCCAGGCAAACTGCCAATTGCATGAAACACACACAAGCATGCAGCAGTTAAGGTCAGGTTTTTCTCAAGGCAAAACAGAGGAGTGTGCAGAGGCTTGGGAAAACTGTAGAAGAATGCACATTTGTGTGGAGAGAAGAAGAAAAAAAAAGTTGACCCAGTCATTTAGGTCACAGCACAATGTAACTCAAGGCGGCCCCTATTATTTAGCCGACGGTTCAGAGTCCCTCAAACTTAATTGAAGAGTAAATTACCTCTTATACAATACACACAATTACCTCTTATACAATACACACAAAGACTTCAGGACAACGAGAGAGGCTATTTTACCTTCAATATGAATCAGTCACTGCTTGAGATTAAAGAATGCATGTGTGCCAAATGGTACTGTACATTAGATAGTTTATAATGAGCTTCTGAATGTATCTCTATAAAGAGTTAAACATATTGGGTTTGTGTAATGGTGAATTAAAGAACAAATATTTTAATAATAATCATAAAACAAACTGATGAAACCAACTGTAAGGTAAGGCAGGTTTATTTATTTAGCACATAAGCTTTACATAAACAAGAATAAAATAAACCAAAATATAAAAATGTTTAAAAGAATAACTAAAACAGATAATAACTGATTAAAATGTGTTAAAACAGGTTTTAAAAGAATAAAAAAATGAAAGAAAGACATAATAGTGTGATCTGTCGGACACAGCACAGTGCTCATTCAGTAACGGTGCAGCTAAACAGATGTCTTCAGTCTTGATTTGAATGTACCTAATGTTGGAGCACATCTGATCATTTCTGGAAGCTCATTCCAACAGCATGGGGTGTAGTAGCTGAAGGCGGATTCACCCTGCTTTAACTGAACTCTTGGAATTTCTAATTTGCTTACTCCTAATGATCTGGGGGATCTAGGTTTGTATTCTGGGAGCATATCTGTAATGTATTAAGGTCCCAGGCCATTTAGGGATTTATAGACTAGTAATAATACTTTAAAATCTATCAAGAATGTAACTGGGAGCCAGTGTAAAGACCTGAGGACAGGTGTGATGTGCTCTGACTTTCTAGTTCTGGTCAGAATCCTAAAGCCGCAGCATTCTGGATGAGCTGCAACTGTTTGACTGTCTTTTTGTGAAGGCCTTTTTGGGAAGTCCATTACAGACAAAAGCATAAACAAGTTTCTTTAAGTCCTTACTGGAAACAAAGCATCTAATTGTTGCAATGTTTTTGAATTAATAATATGCCAATGTACTTACTGATTTGACATGACTATTGAAATTCAGATCTGACCCCAGAATCACACTGTAAAACAATTGCTGGGTTTTAACACAATGATGGGTCAAATATGGACAAACCCAACTGTTGGGTTAAAATATGTAATTTAAATATAATAAAAAAAAAGTTAACACAATGGTTGGGCTCGTCAATATTTGACCCAACGTTGAGTTGCAACAATCTAACATTTATTAGAGGACTGCAGTATGCAAGTGGATGAAATAATCAAAATTATTAAATCAATAGAAATTCTAAATTATGAAATATATGCATATGAAAATATAAAACAATTATGCACAGAGTATTTAGCTCAAAATTGTTCACTTTGAAAAATGATGGATTGTTTCAACCCAAATTTGGACATTATATGGACAAATCCAACTTCCTTCCTTCAACAATGTGTAAAAAATAAACCCAACTGTTGGGTTAAAAAGTGTTATTTAATTTGCTCATATCTGACCCAACACTTTTTTTACTATGCACTAAAAATGCTAAACCTCAGTTCGATTAATTCGATTCGCTGTGGCTGCATTCAACATATTTTTAAAATGCTCAGATTTTAGTTTCTAAAAAAATGTTTTAGAATTTAGCTTTGACAACTCACAATATAATATAACACTTGTGTGAGATAAATAAGAGTCAAGCATTTAAATGCTGTTTATATCTTTGACAAAAAAAAAAACATTTAACCTTCAGAACTTTCACTGCATCGCTGTTGATTTGTTCATTCCAAGTCATTTGCTCCTAAAATATTTAGTTGCAATAACCCTGAGGTTAAAAGTGTATATTTTTAGTTTACTTATGCCACACTGATTTTCCAGCTCGATACAGAGGCATGATCTAGCCAATTTGGCTGTAGATGATCACGAAGATGAGATGCCCTGAGTTTGCTGGCTTCTACTTCAAAAGCATGAATGACAGATAAGGACAACCACAAGTAGCAGGGACTGGCACTGAATACTGGTCACTCTAAAGACAGACACACGCTTGTAGCTGACATTTCCACAAACTATGAAATTTCAAAATCTGCTATGATGGGGAAAACACTTTTTTTTCCAAGGGCTGCATAATAAATCTTTTCACCATTGATATCACAATGTATCCGCAAGTCACATCGCAGGATCTGCAGTTGGGAGATTATAAAGGAGCCACAGTTCAAAACAGGCATGATCTGTGGAGTCATTGCAAAGTTTTCATACATTTAACAAAATGCTTATCAGCTAGATGTGTTTAGGGGCTGTAACTGTGCAATCCAGGTCACTTTAAAGAATTGAGGCACAAGTAACTGTTTTTAACTTTAATAGAGATTGCATTTATACAATATAGTTATTTTACATTTGATTATTCACTTTGTGCCTGAACACTACTACACTACCAGAAAACCATGAAATAGTTTTATTTGTATCTTTACTCTCTTTTGTTTTTTATATTTTATGCAGATGCAAAAGCATCCCAATTAATGGAGTTTTAATGAAAATATATAGAATTAATTTAATCTAGAGGAAAGTTTACTCAATATCCCAATGTCTTGCAGAAAAAAAAGCAGTCCGTTTTTTTTTTTTTATATATATATTCTATCCCTACTTCTTTTTTGGTAATTTATTTTGGTAATGAACGTTAACTTGCTGTACTAGTTAGACTTTTCCTAATTTTTGGGGTAAACATACATTTGAATGACGTGCAAAATATAGCTGCTTTCACGGTTCATACACATTTTTTTATTACTAAAATTCCATGACTTTTCCAAGACTTAAGTCAATTTTCATGACCTACTGTTTCATGCAATGTCTACATATGGGTGGTCAAAATCATTACAGCATATCGTAAAACACACAACAATCTATTGAGTAGCAATTTATATTTATATCTAAATAAAATCGATTTAGATAATGCTTGCACCGCACTAATATTGTGAGAGTATGTAATTGGCCAAAGACAGAAGTAAAATTAACTAACCTATATTCAAGTATACAGATATTTGTTTTCCATCACTTTTCCAAAACTTTGTGAGTTTTTTTAGTTTTTCCAAAACTTTTCCAGGCCTAGAAAATTCCATGTCAAAATTCTATAACTTTTTCAGGTTTTCCATGACCGTATGAAACTTGTGCTGTAATATGAATTTACAGTTATATATATAAATATATAAAATATATATACATAAATATATAAATATACACACACACACACACACACACACACACAGACACACACACACACACATATATATATATATATATATATAT